AAACAGATTTTTCAAAGCTACTAGTGTGCTATTAATCTATTGCTTATTGTCCATTAAATGCATTGACTGGAATCTGTTCTCTGGTGGCCACCCCAATTAGACCATTTATCTGAGGTGAACACAAGTGTTCTAAAAATATTCCTTTTTCATGTTAGTTAAGAATTTACTGCCTATGGTGCAGGACGCAATGAACTACTAACACAGTACTCAGTGGGCTCATCTACACAAGATGCTTACTGAAGAGTTGCCTAACTAGTTCCATAGTAAAATATCACTGGTCTATGTGCAGAACTATTAGGCTGGAGTAAACTTATTAACTCTGCCATAGGTTAGTATGCTAGATACAAGTACTATCCTACAGCAAGAGTTATTTATTCTGCTGCAACGCATGTATAGACGCTGACTGGGGTGGGCTGGGGCAGGAGAGTGCTACAGGGTGCAGCTGCCTGCTGGCTAGCCCCATACTGTAGCACCCTTGTTCCTCAGCCAGCCCCTTGGCAGCACATTGAGCTAAGGGGGAGCAGTCCCAGGTTGGCAGGCTGACCCCCAGGATCCCCTGCTGACTGAAGCTGCCCCGACCTTGCTCAATATGCTGTGCTTCTGGGTGCACACATAAACACGGCTCTCAGGAAACAATAATCTGTGGGGCAATTAAGTACTGGATTTTACTGCTTCAACTTAATTGCATGTGTAGACATGCCCACTGTCTCCCACATTTATCTTAATCTTTAAGCTTACTCTACCCCATGACATCTCCCAGGGGCTCATAGGTCTAATACGCTGACAGAGTCCAGTTGGGCTTGAAAGTGGGCAAACTTGACTTTGTTAAGCTTGGGAAGTCCCTCTTTTTTACTGGAAGTTCTTTTAACAATGCTGGTCATTACACTGCAAGCATATTTACTCCACAGATGCAACACACAAGGGACAAACAGGAGGACGTGGACATGATCCTAACCTTCTCCTTTGGGTTAACAGTTGGAAAATGCAGATGGCTGCCAGGTACTTTGGATCCAACAGATGTCACTTAGGAGAACTGTCATCTTCCAGCACCCACACATCCAGTCACCATTTCTCAAAATCTTCCAAGGGGCCTCCAACCAACAAAGAACTGTGCCTTCAACTGGTTGTTGCCATTTGCATGAAGGTCACCTGGCTGCCAGGGCCAAGGGACAGTGCCTTAAATCCTGCTACTATAAATCCTATGTAAGGTTAAAAAAAATCTACCACCACACCATGCTTAGAAGTGCCCATTTTCTTCACATACCTGATCATTTAAGAAAACCACTATCTGTACACACAAGGACTTTTTGTCCTTACCCCTCTGAAAACCATAAGAATTTAGAGGGAGGAGTAGGCGACAGTCTACTTTCAATTTAAATTGCCTGTTTTCCAGACTCCCTTTTCTTCTGCAGGGCTTGAATACATTGCTATGAAACTTAAGGAGGAAAAACTACACATCTTTAAAATTCTACATTTTATTCTGATATGAGTAAATCTAGCCCTAAATTCCTACTACATGCCATCCACTGCTCAAACCACTCACTAGAGGAGGGCACTGCTTCCATGTTCTTGCTGTAATGTATTTTTCTGCCAAGCAAAACGTTTTTACAGGTTTTTGTGCTTTAACAGTTGCTATTCCTGCATTATCTAGTCCTGAGATTATTTCCTGTGGGAAGAATGTAATACTTTTCATTCCAATAGCACTTTTGGTAAGTTACTATTTTCTGCTAATATTTCTGTATGTTGGGAAAGAACCAAATGATATGTTCTAAGTTCCATTCTCCATTGCAGTTTCTCAAACACTGCTTATACTGCAATTGTTTCACAGCCCATAATCTAGAGGGAGTGGAACAGAATCCCTGTAAATTTCTTATACAGACTTTCCATCAAGTTACAAGGCAATAGCATTGCTTCTTGCAAAGTTAAGTTCATTCTTCCTCTCCCATTTGGAAAACAAATGCTTTCCCCCCTCACTTACCTTTCACATTACTCAAACTATGTGGACTTTTATGAATTCTACCTGTTGTTCTTTTTCCACTGAGAAACCAGAAATAAAACTGCCTTTACAAGGTTACTGCTATTTCTCATTCCAAGAGCCCATATTTGGAACTATGGAAACAAAGAGAGGTTACAAAGGCTCACATGCTCTTATTGCTGTATTATAAAATCTGATGCTGAAATTCACTTTAATAGAGTTTTGGGCTAGCTGACTTTAGGCCTTCTTGGGGGAAAAAATGGGACTCTTAGTAACTACATTAACTGACTTCACCTTCTGCATTTTGTAAAGTTGAAATTCAAGGATAAGGCACTGGATTAGTTAACAGCAAAGAGTTTTGCTGCTGACTTCAACAGATTTTCATCTCAGGTATGTAGTTTGCCATTTTTTAAAGTATCGTGTTTCAGAAAAAAAGTTCCTTCCTGTCAATCTAAAGTAAGACTGTAGGAAGTTTAGATTAACTCAGCCCTCTCGCTTTTCAGGAGGTGATCAGGGTGAAAACAGATGCCACCTTTGTTCTGTCATACAAAAGCTAAGCAAACAGCTGTCCTTGTCCCTTATTGCACCACAAACACTAAAAAATTTTGGCTATGACAAAGGTGGTGTTAACTTATTCCACTATTTAGAGGCTGATGTCTATTTGTTTTTCAGTAGGGAAGCCCAGGCAGCCTGGAGCTGCCCACTCCCTCCAGCTGCCCCAGGCACGTGCTCCCAGGACTTGAGGACTCCAATCTCGCACACCCTGGGAATTCCCATACAGCATTGGGCCCCTCAAGCCCCAAGGGAATATGTCATCCATTGTCCTACCAGAAAAATAGATGGCACAACTGGTGATATGTGATTCACCTAATGAAGTGGATCAGCAGTGTAGGGACACATCCCCGATCCATTTAGCAATGTCTATTTTTAGCTTTAGTTTGCAATTTGCTGCCCAAATTACATGGGAGGTGCTTTCTAGCTAAAACAATTGAAATTTTGTCTTTTTGAAACAAGGGCTTTTGAAGGCCCATAAAAATTTGCTGTTCTAACTGGAACAGGGAACATCCAGCAGCAAGTTGTTATGGTGTCTACTTGGCCACCTTGCATAAAGCTTATTCCAGCTTCTAGCTACTCCCTGAAGTTTTGTAAGAGGGAAAGGAAACTAGTCTGTTAACTGAAGAGACAAGACTGACATTGCACAATTCAATTCTGCTAGCTGTGAAGTAGATGTTAATGTTTACTTCCTCCCTCTGTTCCCTCCTACCCTTTCACACTGAAGTACATTTAAGATTAGTGGTAGCCCTTGCATCCTCACCACAAGCAGTTGGGTCACTTGGAAAGCAAAGTCCACCACACAGGTAGGCTTCCCAGTGGCTCTTATGGTACCTTGGCTGAAGACATTGGAAGGGCTCTGCTCAACTTGTCTGGCATTGAGAAATCTCTAGGCCTTTCTCGGAGACAAGCCACTTCCATGACATCTGTAAAGCTGCATTCATTTATAGGAGGAAAATGCAGTAATTTTTACCTATCCTCAGCCAGCACCATCAGCTGAGGTGAAGACATGTCAAAGGCTGCAAATGGGAGTTTTGGCACTGAGGAAAATAAATCCTTTTGAAAGCACTTCCTAGGGCACATTCCCTACCTCTTGCCATGGCAGTTGATGAGAAAGGCATCTGCCTGCAGTTCCCATAATCTTTTTTCTACTCAGTACATATTGAAGAGCTAACACTCTGAAGCAGAATACAGCAAAGAGGTGTAATGCAGCACAGTAAGGGGGAAACACTAGAGTACTTTAGCATGCTTCCTGGTAGCAGCCTAGGGGAAAATCACAATTGCGATTTTTGTGCTAAAGGAGATCAAGAATCCCAGGATATGTTACCTATCAAGTTTTCCCTCAGTCACCTGTCTTCCCCCCCCCACATTTTCAGCTCTACAGCTTCTGCCAGCCCAAAGCAGAACATTCTTCCTGTCCAGATCAGCAGGATGCTGCCATCTTTCGATCACCCAGGAAATGTTGGCTGCCTTCCCTCTTCTCCACCCCTCTCCCCTTCCAAGGACTTAGGCTCAAATGGTCTCAAGTGTACCGTTAATAGTAGAAGGGAGGATCTGCAAACTGTCTCAATCCTATATTTGCACTGGCCTCCATTGACTTTCTTACCATTGTAGCTTAGAGGAAGGGAGTTAAACATACAGCGTGGAGGCTGAATATGGCCTGGGGAGCTATTCTATGTGGCAGGCCACAGGAAGTTGTAGAGGTGTGTCCTGCCACAGAATCTGGGGCCCTTATGCCCCAGTGGGCATGGTGTTCAGCAGCAGGATGGTGAGAGCTGATATAGCCCCAGCCCCCCTCCAGCTGCTCTATTGACCTGATGTGACCCTACCTCCTCAGCCACTACCTCCCACTGTGTGCCTCATGGTAGAATAGGAGCTGAAGCTGCCGCTGCAGCACAGAGCACTTGGCGGCAGCAGTTCTGGCTCTGGCAGGGGTCATGTGCTGGGGGCTACAGCTACTGCCATGTGCCCTGGGTTGGAGCCAAAGCTGATGTTGCCTCCACCACTACCACCTGCTCCAGGTCAGAGCTAGAGCTGCCACTGCTGCTGCTTTGTGCCCCAGGCTCAATCCAGCCAGCAAGGAGCCTCATGGTCCAGATCCAGCCTGGGGCACAAGGTAGACACCCTTGGTTTAGGGTATTTTCAGGACTGGCATGCAAGCTAGAGGTTGCTCTAGTACAGTGGCCTCATCATCACACTCAAGCTCTCTCCACTAGGGAATATAACAGGGGTCATGTTGGCTTTATGCCAGCTAGCTGCTGGCTCTGGAGCCCTTTTCCACCAAGGGCTATGAGAACAGAGACAAAACTGAATCAAGACACATGGAAGGACTAAATCAAATGTTGGATCTGTGTGTGAAGAAAGCTGAGATCTGGACTCTATGGCTCAGGTATACCTCTAATATTCCAGGCCTGGCAACGTAACACAAACAGGCTGAAATTATGCCTTTTACGAACATACAACACAGCGTAACTTTTGATTCAAATTTTTAATAAATTGTGCCAGTAGAAGCTTTCAAGGGCAATGATATAACAATAAATAACAGTTAAATTGAGTTCCTGAGAAAGAACCTACCACACGAAAGAATGTCGGATAGATGTAAATAACAAAAATGGCATTGCTATATAAAAAAGCAGTAATACTGAATCTTACATGAACTGTCACAACACAAGCACTGCATACCTCAGACCACTCCTTTCATACCAATGTAAACAAATACACAATCATTTTTGTTTAGGTTAGGTTGATGAATTTATAGGTGATGTTGCTTAGATAGCTAAACAATGGATAGGATATGATATGCTAAAAACATTAAGGAATAATATGTGGAATAATATATGGAAAAATTATGAAGATCCAGATTTAAAAAAAAGTAAAGCAAAAACACATTGAAGGAGTGTTTTCCTCAAGTGTTGTTACGTCAACCACTTTAAATAGGACTGTTACACTAATCTGAATTAAGGATTTTTTGTGTTTATCTATTTAGTTATATATAATATATATGCAAATATGTATGGCTTAATTCTTTTTAGTATTCCAATATCACTTTGAATAATCCTCACTTATACATATAAGAAAAATGCATATTTTAACAAAGTTAAGAACTGACATTTCAAAGTATGCCTATAATTTGATAGAAATGAAGGACTACTGTGTTCCATCACAGCAAAATTTTAATTGAAAGAGACAATAGAATATTATAACTTTTCAACAATGCCAACACTTTCAAACATTGGTCCTTAAAGTTAGGCTTCTCAATATTCATTTGAACACTGTAATTAGAAGGGGTCTGATTTTTTGAAATGCTAAGCAATCCCATATCCTGAAAAAATTAATGGGAGTTGCAGATATTTAACACCTTTCATAAAGTCAGTCTACTTTCATTTGAGAGCCCCAAGGTAGATTTAGAATCCTAACTGTAGGCACTATGGTTTGAAAATTTTGACTCAAATATCTTAATATGAACACTGTGTTACTGATAGTATTAAATGGCAAAGTTTTAAATACTGAACATTGTGCAGTGGGTGCTGTGTGAATGAGCTAAATCAAGACTGTTGCAGTAAATTAACACTGAAATAATGGTCTTGCTATGTATCTTGTGGGGGGGAGGGTGCAGATGATACCTGTTTACTAAAAATGATCTATTTTATCAGACCACAACAACTATTAATGAGTTATAACTTTGCAATCTGTTTTCCAAAAATAATATTGGCTACAATCATAAGGGGAAATCATCCACACAACACATTATCAACACACTGTTTAAAATGGTCTAATTTTAGACCCTCAGTAAAAATGGATCCACAGGACCTGCCCATGGATGGCAAGAAAAGGCCATTTCATATAGAAAAAAAACACTGCTCATGCAACATTCTTCACACACCAGACAATGAAATCACACCCAAATTTTCACTTGCTCACACTTTCTTTTACACTCCAATAAGCAGAAGGAAATAAAGCAGCTTTAAGGTTATGTCACAATTTTGAAATGTGGAAAATACATATATGGAAACAAAAATCATGGTGTGAATAAAATGGCATCAGTAAATTTAGAAAATTAGAGAGCAGAGGTTTTTCTTTTTTACATTATTGCACAGAGACCTTTTATCACATGTTCTTCAGTTTTATGCGTTTTCCTAAATGTGAAATAAGTGCTATGGATAAAATAAAAATGTAGAAAAGAAGAACAGCAGCATGATTTGTCAAAGTTAATCCCTATAATTTAGTAGGACAAAAACCCTTGCTATAAACAAAATATAAGTGCTCTTTATTCATTTAAAAAATAATGTGGAAAGTTGTGGAAGTCCATACATGCTGATCAGAGTAGGGGGATGCTGACCTCAAACAAAAAATAGGCCTAGAAATGACAGATCGCTGGCCTTGCAGATAGCAGTGAAGACCAGGCTTTCAAGTGTCATTTATCAGCATAGCTATTTACAATAAAACTGACCTGAACAAAAAAGAGTGCCCATTTAGGACCTGGCCCTGCAGGCTCTCAACTCCCCAGATGCACCATGGCCTCAACTGGAGCTGTGCTTGAGTAAGAGCTGCAAGGTTGGGTCCTAAGGGGTCAGCTAAAGGCCCTCTGGGACTTGCAAATAAGATCATTTGGAGTACTCTGTACAATAATTTACACATATACAGGTTGGCAGGCTCCAGTCTGATCCACCACATCTTTGTTTTCTACATCACACTTCTCAGACTGGCTAACTTCGATTCCAGAAGGCTTGGGGTATCTAAATGGATATCCATTGTCATCAAAGAACCTTCGGAAAGTAAACTCATAAAACGCATGTTCTGTGTGTTTGCTGTTTGAAGAGGCAAGTGGGTCCCATGTCCTGGTACTGTCACCACTAGCGTCGTTCCAAGGACTTTCTTCTTCAACGGGGTCAAAATTTGAGGTGTCCATTGGATGGCTGATCTTTGGAACATAGGGAGCTGGCTGCCTGCGGATATCAGTGGAGAAATCTATAGAATTAAAGAAAGGGTGGGCCTTAATATCATCTGCTCCATTTCTTCCAAGTCTGTCCTCAGCAGCACAGCACAGTTTTGTGATAAGATCACTTGCCTCAGGGCTCAGCTTGATCTGTGAGGGAATGTGCAGGGTGCTCTCCCAGTTTATTACCTGGAGAAGAAAAAGATGGTCAGTGCTTCTACACCTGTGAACAAATGCCCAGAGTTTGTTAAGACTGACAACTCAGAACTGGAAGCAGCAAGTTAGTTTGCAGCCTGCCTTTGTACTTTTGGAATGCAGGAATCCAATGAGCAGGTGACAAACATACCACTCACTGTGAGCAAGACAGGAAAACTGGGAAGAATGGATCCCGTTTGCTATGTATATGTATCAAAGTCCAGCTCAAAGTAAAAAATAAAATAGATTTTAGCTCAGAAAAACATGTGTTGAAAGACTGCAGAGAGCATCCTAGAGAGAAGACAACAGGGTTTAAGCTGAACTTGCATTAAAATGTTAGCTCTGCCCCTCTTCCCACTGAAATGATCCCTGGTTCACTAAAGTAGAAGGCAGGGTAGATTTGTGCCTTATAGGTTAACCAAAGTGCAAACTGACTGTGCCTTCTACTCAGCTTCAGACTAAGATGGCTACCTGTTTTGTTAATGTAAGTCCAGAATATGCCGTTCTGTAATTTCAGATATTAGGGGTTTTGCACAGCTTGTATCAGAGCTATCACAGAATGAGGTCTGGGATCTCTTTACTGAACCTGGAAACACCACCAGATACCAGGCAGGTGAAAAAACGTGTGTGAAGTTGACATCAGAAATTAGTCCTCATTTGAATGTTCCTACAGTCTAACCTGAGGAGGTATTTAGAAGACACTGCCAGGTTAAACTCAATCTTATCTGTAGCTCATCTTTCTGGAGAAGGAGACACACAACACCTGCCGCCGCCCCCCCTCCTTAGCTACAACCACTACTCAGGTCTGAAATAATGGAATTGCAAACTGAGGTTTTCACTGACATGTATGAATTTCAACAGCAAAAGCTACAGTGAACAACCTAGGAGGAGGAGGCACTTCTCTTTAGGAGAACTATTGAATATAAGTGTTCTCCATGCATATGTTTAGGTTGCCACATAAAGGTCCAGGCAAAGATCACCTCACAGTCATGAAGCTGTGGTAAAGACAACTAAGGATTTGGAGGATCTGTGCCACCAGCAAAGACCTCCCCACAAAATATGTCATTTTAAAGCAGGAAAAATGTAACCTTTTTTGGGAAGGGATTGTCAAAATTTGGCATAGGTCCCTGAGAAGCTGGAAGAATTGGGGGGAGGTGGAGGGGTGGAGAGGAGAATGACAACAGGGAGGGTATAGAGGAAACATGCAGACTTAATTCCTGACTCTGTCACAGGCCTTGGGCAGGTCATTTCTTCCCTGGAAAGTCAGGCCTTTAATCGTGCTACCTTGAGCTGGTAAAACGAAAGAAAATACTACTTCACTCCAGAGTGTCCACTGACATTTTGCTTTCACCTACCTTTAGTTGGGTTTCTGTGGGAGTGGGAGCCAGAAAGGGAGGCTGCCCCACTAACATCTCAAAGAGAATCACACCAACGCTCCACCAATCACAGAGTTGAGTGTATCCTGAAAGGCAACCAAAAGACAGCATCCCTGATCAATGAAAGAACAGCTGTTGTTTCTTTTTACAATTTAAACAACACTAGAAGATACTGCATGCTTTCCTCTTCTCTAATACCTGTCCATGCTTGGAAATATGATTTGTAACCTAAGTATAAAAAACCAATGTCTTCTGCTGAATAATGTAAATTGAAAACAAAGAAATTCTAATCCGGGCATCAAAGGATCATTCTAAGTATATTTTTGTAAAATGCTATAGTTGCAATGGGGGCACATAATTGGATGAAGCAAGGATCTTTCCATACAGCACACACTGGCCAATAAAAAGGCTTCATGACTGATGTACTCCCAAGGTTATAGAGAGGTAAGATACCATCCTTTGGAAATGCATCTCAGGGACACAACAGCTCAGGGAATAAGTGAAGGACATGAAACATTTTATTATGTTCCATGCAAAGGGGAATACTTTAAATCAGCCAGTTCCTGAGACTAGACAGTAAAGTACTTATGTGAGATTTTCAAGGATAGTTAGAGGATTTAGCAGTTGACTTAAATGAAAGTTTATGTAGCTAGATATTTTAGGGCCTGGCTTATAGTTTATTGATGCTAATGGAAAGGCACACATGGATTCCAAAGGACTTAGAACCAGGCCTTTAAAACCACCTTTAAAATCATCCCACAGCTTTAAAAACCTCAATCCATAACTATAAAGTTTAGTGCTCAACATATCTGTCCTGCATAGGGATGAACACAATGGGTATGTCAACACGAGACATTGACTGTGCAGTAGTGCATCACAGCACGGACAGTGCTAATATGCCACTGCACAGGAGCATCACCTAAAAGACGTTTGCTGGCACTACTGCGCAATAACTCCGATTACTGTGCATTTATTTAGTGCTTGCTAATACAAGTACTAAATAAATGTGCAGTAATGACTGCGCAGTAGCATCTTGTGTAAATGCATCCAATGTGGACTAAGCTCCCCAAGGTCTTCAGTGTAAGGCAAGGGAAGGGTTTTCGTCTTTGGTTGTCTCAAAATTGTGCCAGGAATCTGGAGGAGACATAATTAACGCATTATATCTTCCACATCTAAGCTACTGGCTTTGTTGTCAGTGGGCCTTGGCTAAGCTACAAAAGAATGGCTAAAGAAGGCTTTTTCAGTTTGAGTGACCTCTACAAGACATGACAACTAGTTTGGTCTGAAATGTAAAGGAAGCAATCAACATATCCAGCTGAACCAATGATGAGGTCTAATTAAACAGAGCGCAAGACCTGAAAGAAGACTTTTTAAAGAAGGCCCTTACTTTAAATAATCCAAATATGCTATATCACAACTTTATGTAAAAATGTTAGTAGTAGTGACTGATGTAGCAAAATAGCATCTAATACATTTAGTTATAAGAAATATGTTTTTGTTAAGCTTCTTAGGTAAGTTATAAAAATAATGTAGCTTTGTCAGTGAAGACCATAACCTAAAGTGAAGAAGAAACAGCAGTGCTGAACAGTATTCCATAATGGCGAAAGGATGGAGATATGGAATCCTCTGTCCAGAAGTATACCTTTCACAGAACATAAAGCCCAACTAATTGACACCTTCCAAGTTCACAGGAGATCTGGTTCAGCCCAGCTCCAAAAGTTTCAGTGAAACAAAAAAAGCTAAATAAAATCTATCAGAGAACATGTAGTAAAATCAGCCATCTACAAATATAGGGTATAGTTTGGAGAGAAATGTGGAAAACACAGCAAATTCAAGAATACCTGCTGCCAGTCTGCATGCCACCCTTCCCGCCATCTTAAATCTCGCCAGATGCTAAACATAAGAATTTATGTTGTGCTGTCACAGGTAGCCAGACTTTGGGATAAACGTTTGTTTTTGTGTTTTGCAATGTAAGCAAGAAAAGGTTGGGCTATAGACATGTTGCTTCCTCTCTTATCAGTAGCCAACCTGTCAGTTCACCTGTAATCCAGGTAAAAGAACTGGGGCTCCTGGGTGGGTGGTTGATGTGTGGTAGGAGTTGTTTGCATTTTTCTTTCACTTCTTGAGCTAAAGCACAGATGAGGCCTTGGGGATGGGACTCAAGTTTTGCCCAACTGGGAAAAGTCAGTAATCTGGCATGGGTAGTACTAATAGCCTACCTGATAAAGAGGGAATAGAGGACCAACTCAAACAAGAGGTGATCCAATACAGGAGACTGTATGGGAATAGGGTACATTTGACACCCCAGGCCCTTGGAGGACTCTGTGAAGAATCATCTAGTTGGATTAGAAAGAATAAAAAAGTGGGAAAACAGGAAGAAGGCAGCTCTCCTTCAAGGACCATACATGGTGGCAAAGGGGACATCTGAAAAAGTAGCAATCTTAGAGAAGAAGATTCAAAATATTACAGCACAGTTAAAAGCTGAAGAGGATGTATGCACACCATTATGAGCACAGGGTTTCTGGTACAAAATGTTAACTGATACTGGAATAGCCAATTCCATAATTCATGTGGGCCCAAAGGAGGATGGAAACTGGAAGACCACAGTCTTTTTTACTTTAGACAGGTTTAATGGTAAACCTTCCCGTGTTCCTATTCCCCAGGAAATAAGTTGTTTATTAGAAACTATGACTTTTTCAGATAACTTTGGAAGATGATGTTGGCAGATAGTAATGGCATTTTGGGGTCACAGACCCACAAGAAGCGGGGAGCTTTGATCGATTATGCTAACATTCAGTTGTGGATTGAAATGTGTTGTTATCAACAAGGTGAGAAGGCTGGACTAGTTGGAGTAACTCATGCAATTTTCTTTGCAACAACCCCACCCTGCCCACACATACCTAAGTGCCAGAAGGTGACACAGAAGTTGCTGCATTGGTAGAAAAGGTGAAGGATCTCTTTGCTAAAAGTAAACAAGCTTCTGGAGTAATTAATGACTGTGGGGGTTTTTCTGTTTTGGCGTATAAGCAACATAACGTCAAACCTGTCTCTTGCCACTTAGCAGTAGCCAACCTGTAAATTTACAAGTTTGTAATCCAGTCTGAGTCAGTCAATAGGTACCATATGAGTAGGCTGCTTGTTGGCTTTTCTGAATTAGCTAGTGATCAGATTCCTGTTTTGTGCACAGTATCACCGCCGACACCAGCTTGCACTTTTGTTAGTAATCTGAACAGACATGCCACAGACTGAATGGACATGATGAACAGTACTGATACATATGGTGAAATCTACACTTAAGTGTCCAGGGCAGTAAACCCAACACACTTACCAGGCATTTTTTTTTTTTTTTTTTTTTACTTAAAACCAAAAGTACACTTCTAAGCATTGGCTTTCATTTAACAGGAAAAAAATTGAGGTCCTCTACCTTTACGAAGCAGCACTTCAGGAGCAATGTAATTAGGGGTCCCAACTAATGAGTGGGCTAAACATCTCTGATGCTGTTTTTTAACTCTTTGCTCCAAGGTCTTCAGCCTGTCTCCACACCTACAGTTGGACACGTCATCCCAAAGATCACTGGGCTCCATGCTGTCCTGTCGGATGTGGCTCCCTTTTAAATGGGAAAAGGGATAGAAAGTTTTCCATGAATAGCACTGTTTATAAAACACACGTCAAATAAAGAGAAAAATAATGACTGATTTGCTAGTTTTGCCATCTGGGACTTGCCTTCTCACTAGAGTAAATAATGGGCTTCCTATAAAACCTTAATCCAATATTATTTACATTTTTTAAAACTTCTCCTTTTCCAGGCCAATTTTTTTAAATGTGCCCATGTCCCCACCCCACAGTAAGACTTGTAAAGTACATCCCCACAATGGAGATACCTACGTGTACAAATAACTCTGTGACTACAGCTCAAAACTGGTTCATTCCTGAACAATGGCATTCGTATGAATGTTGGTGCTGGGATACAATCAACTCTGCTGCTTTTGTGGTTAATTCTTTTCATCGTCAATACAGACCCTTGAACCAATAAACCTGGAAGTTTACTGGAATCACAGCAGCCATTTAGGTTGCTGATGGAGAAAGCAAAGGGTTCATGCACAAAGACAGCAGTGTTCAACCTTTTTGCTGGCAAACTGGGTGGGCAGTGCCTGGGGTCAGCTTGCAGGCCAGATCCAGCTGGTGGTCTTGATCCAGCACCTGGGGCAAGTGTGGTGGGGCCCCATCCAGCTGCATGGATGGCAGCCCAGCCCCAATCCAGCTGTAAGGGGGAAGGGACCATGGTCTGGCCCCAACCCAGCCCCACGGGTGGAGGCTGGGGTCATGACCTGTCCTGCATCCAGCCACACAGGGGGAAAGGGAGTGGCTTGATCCTGTGGAAGGCAGGGGGTGTAGCCTGGCCCAAACCTGGCTGCATGGAGGGAAGGGGGGGTGTGGCCCAGCCTCAACCCAGCTGGGGCGAGGGAAGGGGAAATGGGCTGGACCCTCAGGTTGGGAGGGGAGCAAGGCCTGGCCCCACAGGGAGAAGGGGACACTGCCCATCTCCAACCCAGCTGCGTGGAGGGAAGGGGGTGGTCCAGCCTTGATCTAGCTGTGCGGGGAGAGAGGGGCATGGCCTGGTTCTGATCTGTCATGTGAAGCTTTGGAATTTGGCAGTAGGAAGGGGTGACAGTATTAATTGCCACTGTTTCCCTGCTGCCAAATTTCCGGAACTGTGGAAAGCCCCATGGGCCAGATACCAAGGCTCTGCAGGCTGCATTTGGCCCACAGATTGGAGATCAAGCACTTCTGCACTAAGACAGCAAATTTCATGCATGAGCTGGCAAGTCAATGACTCATCATTAGTCACTGTTGTAGCATATAAAACATGCAATGTTCTTTCAGTTGGCACACTGACAGAAAGACCACTGCCTATCTTCAGAGTGAAATGATATGACAATTGTCAGAACAGGTGCACCTAAGACTGTTACCTTTCTGATAGTATTTGGAATTGTGGGTCCACCTGAATCCGGTGCAGAGCCCGAAGTCAGTCAGTTTAATATGTCCATCAAGGTCTATAAGAATGTTGTCAGGCTTGATGTCTCTATGGATAAATCCCATTCTGTGTACACTCTCTATGGCCAAAGTGAGCTCTGCAATATAAAACTTAGCTAGGTGCTCTGGGAAGACTTCCATCCGTATCAACAGACTCATCATATCCCCACCGGGGATGTAGTCCATCACAAAGTACAAACTCTCCTTATCTTGAAATGAGTAATAGAGTTTAACCACCCATTCATTGTCTGCCTCAGCGAGTATATCCCTTTCTGCTTTGACATGAGCGACCTGATTACGATTCAGGACATCCTTCTTTCTCAAAGTTTTCATGGCATAAAGGGCATGAGTGTCCACCTTGCAGGCGAGACACACCTCCCCAAAAGCGCCGATCCCTAGGGTCTTGATTTTTACAAACATGGACTTGTCCATTTTGGCCCTCTTCAGTCTGTTGTAGTTAGATTCCTTTTGGTAGAGAATTTTCCGCATTTGCTCCTGTTCTGTTTCACAAAGACCAGCCTTTATAGGGGGAAAAAACAAAACAGAACAGCCAGTATAATTACATTCATAATAAGAAACCAATACAACTAGCATTTTGAGGGCACGTGCTTAGATTAAATTAACCATGAATTAGGAGAAGGATATTCAAGTTCTTTGGCCCTGCCTCAGTCTATAGGTGTATTTTTAAAGCACTTGCAAGTTCATTGCCTCCTGGCCTACTATTTAAATCTGGTGTAGATCTCCGATTGGTCTGCTCATGTCACTACAAGGAATTAGCAGACGCTCTCCAGAGTGACTGACAGAAAGCATCAGCTTAACAAGACAAGCCTGACAAAGGAAACTGACTGCTCCTTTCTGTTGGATGTGGATCTTGCTCCTGACATGCCTTTGTCACCACGATCCCAGGTTACTGTAATACAATCTGCGTGAAGCTACACCTACACAGATCCATCCAGAAACTTTAAGAAAAGCAGCCAAAAGTTGTGCCTCAAAATGGCATCACAGGTTACCAGTGCTCACTTATCTACACTGTCTAGTTATTGGTTTCTGAGTGAGATTTAAGGTTTTGTTTTTGACCTATACATTCCTGAAGAGGGAGGAGATATCAAGGTATCTGATAAGTCATCTCTCTCTGCTTGTTTTCCTAACACAAATGCTATCAGCAGATGCCTCACAGATACCTCAGCTTGATTCCTCCATTATAAAATGGAAGGGTCTGCTGGCATTGCATTCTCTGCAAAAGACCTCTTTCTTTTGGCATGCCTATTTATAAGATCTTTAATTCAATGCCTTTTGGGCACTCCACAATGTTTTCTGTTTGGCAGTAAAGAGCAATGAGGATTTACTGACTGGTCAGATGACTGGGAAGCAAAGGATGTGCAACGTGATGGGAGGAAAGAGGATTACTGATGCTTTTACTTTCCATCTAAATTCTAGTGCTTTTAAAATTGATGTCCTGAAAGCCCAGAACTTTGGATGGGCCACTCTGTGGTGAGAGGCCTGTATAAAAGAAATCTACATAAATCAGTTGGAGAAGGGGAAACAAAAAGAAACCTGTGCAACAAGCAGGATTGACTGCGAAATTGAAGCTAACCAATGGTAAAAAAACCCCTCAAAAAACTTAGTAAAGCAATACTGTAATTGAAAGTGATGAGAAAACCATAAATAGATGTCATGCAAAAGCACCATCTACTGTGTCCATGTGAAATATGTTTGCTGTTTTAGAGTTTCCTGGGTGAATGCAAATGTTGTTGGTACTTCAATCAGGGGCAACAACTAACTCCACAATCAGACTCCTAAGTAAGAATGGTCTGGTTTTCTGAGATGCTGAACCCATACAGCTTCCCATGAAGCCTGAAGCTACTTATACCAATTTGGCCCTGACTATTATTGAAATCAAACAAAGACAATTACTTTGGCCATTTCTTGCTCCAGCTGCAGACGCCTGTTAATTTTTTGTTGGTAGGTCTTTATGACATTCTCTACATGTTGTTCCATGTAGAACTTGAAGGCAAATGGTGAATAGCTCTTAATACGGGATTCTCTTTTTTCTTCATCTTTGCCATTTTTCCGCACTGGCACAGGAGATGTCTGGATCTGCTTTTTATCCTTGCCTGGTTTTTCCATTTTAGCATTCTTGCTGCTTTTGTCATTCCTTTCACCATTTTCCTCAGCTTTACTGCACGTTGAAGTGGGAACCCCCCGAAGGGTCTGTTCTACACCCATACACAAGCAGTTGATATCAAACTGCTCAGAGCTACTGGGAAGTAACAAATGCTTAGGATACGGTGGTGGAGGACATCTGGGCTCCTGGCTGCTGTAATCAACCTCTAGTTGGTAGGCATTAGCTCCTCCAACGGGAAGCTGATGGGGTTCAATAATTTCTAAGCCATCCACCGCTGGAGTTTGTGCAGGGAGCCAGCCAGGATGGGAAGGCCCTACCGCAGTTTGAGGTTCAGGTCTCATCACTCTCATGCTCTTCACCGGTTGGAGAATATGAGCAGATGTGACTGCTGTGATGGTATTTGGAGATGTAATTGAGGCATCAGGTTTGCCTGGGGGAACCTGTCTCATAGATACAGGCACTTGGGGCTGTTGTTGGTGATTGTTAAAGGAGTTTGTTCTGCTTGGCACTGTGGCATCTGGTCTGAAGGTTACATGTTGCCGTGGAGATGTTTCTATTCCTGGGCTTTGTAAAGAATCACGGCGTGACGGTGTTGCTGTTTGCCACTGCTGAACTTGAGGATTATTCATGTCATACAGGTCCATGTTTAGGCTATTTCGAGATGGAGTTAATAAGCTCTGTGGTGGACTATCTGAAAAATCATTAGCAAAGGCTGAACCTCTGGCTATCACATGCATTTGATGAGAGGAAGGACTTGTTTGTTTGTGATGAGAATGTGGTATATACAGACTCGCTGGTGCCTGCTGAAATGCGTGACCAGAGTTATTCTGAACAACCGTCCCTTTATTCGGGAGATTTGCATATCCTCCCTCCTGCTGCATTTTGTTTTGGAACGATGGAGTCCGCTGAATGCCATAACCCATCGGTTCCCCCTGCACCATCATGTGCTGCCTGCTGTAATGTGGGCTGTTTGGGCCATGCGTGACCTGTAGCTGTAGAGCTTGGCTGCCATGATTAGCCCCTGGGTAATTAATCACAGAGGAGTCTATATTTGCAGAGTATGTTTTCTGCTGATGCTGATGGCTTCCAGGAGCACTGTGAGAGCCCACTGCTGAAGGTCTCTGTACAGGAGAGTTCAGGGCTGCGGACTGTGAAGCAGAGATTAAATAGTCCATGTATGGCCTTGGAACATCACTGAGCATGTCTGCACCTTCTGCACCAAAGCTTGTCCCTTCATAGGTTGCATTGCCAATCTGATGATAGGACGGAAAAGACTCGTTTGATCCTTCAAAACTTGGCCTGCGGGTTACGTTATTTGGCACCATCCCCTTCCCTTTATAAAAAGAATACAGAAGAGGTTAGCAAACAACTCAGGTTGTGGGGGGACCAGTTACGTTACTTTACTAATCCATTTGCACATATACAACATTGTCTATAGTGCGTATTTTGACAAAAAACCCAAAGTCAAACTAAGTTAGGTGATCTGAACATTTAAAATGATAGGTGCTGCTTTAATAACTGCTTTAAATACAGGTGATGACTGACAGGCCAACAGCTCTTTTCATGGGAGGAGTCACCAGGAGCTTTAACAAATCCTGAAAATGAAAGTTCAAATGCCTTATTTATGAAGTCATCAGGTTTGTATTCTAGCCTGGATTTAAAAGCCAGGATGGAATCAAAATCACAAACCACAAAGAGCTGGAAACTGCCGTTCAGCGGTACTGAACCCAATGTGCACCACTTACAGCTTGTTGATCATTAGTTACTGGGGGTGGGGGTGTCACGTACTACCGAACTTGTATAAAACAAGCTCGCTGCACACACCTAGGCTCCAGAGTCAGCTGGCAGCAGCCCAGAAGCAGGTATAGCCTGAGGATGAACTGATTCAGCAAAACCACTCAGCATCTCTACTGGCAGGGTTCACATAGAACAGCAAACTGAAGCGGTTTCCCCATCAGGAATCCTGCCTTCCTCTGGGGTGAATTCCTTAGTTCTGCATGGGGCCTTGTACCTCTTGAAACAGCTTCAGTAAATCAGGTCCACCAAGTCCTATTCAGGTTCAACTGAGGAACGTATGGGTCTCTGAAGGTACCAAGTGTGACATGTCTTGGAAGTGATTTTTGTCCATTTTCTCCCTTTCAAACTGATGAAACTTTTGACTGCATGGGCAGCACCTGCTTTTATGTGGGCAAAATGCTTTCTTTCTTTCTCTCCCTCCCTCCCTCCCTCTGATCCAACAGCTGACGTCAGTCACTTAGTCCTCACCCACTTACTAGAAATGTGCCATCAATTACAACAGTGTAGTTAAAACCATGTAAAGATGAAGGATTTCAAAACGTATAGAACAGTATGGAAATCTCTAAACCTCTCATTGTGAAAATCTTAAAGCTTCCAGGAAGGCTTGTATGCTATATACTCAAATGCAAGGGTCTGTACTAACCTAGCCCAACTCTAATACCAAGATAAATCAAAATGCTTGCCTGACATGTCACAAAGATACATGCCAGTCACATACCACCTGAGTTTTGCATTCCTCATTATCCTCAAAGTAAACTCAGACCTAGAGTTTAAAAGGTAACTGCTTTGACTAGCTGCCGTAACTGTTTGATCCTGGAATTACTGTAGTCCTATATTCTGCTTAAATGAGACCAGGATGTGATGCAGGGAACCTGGCTGTCTCTGTTAAAAATCCAAAATTCTCTGATTAAAAACTCTGCATGTGGGGAGAGTGTGGGAGGCATGGGGGAGCGTGTGGCTGGGTGTGGTGTTTGTGATTGTGTGTGGGGGAGGGTGTGGTTGTGGGGCTTGCAGGGGAGGGTTTGTGAGTATGGTGGGGTGTGCATGGGAGCTTCCCCACATACCCTCTTGAGCTGGTCAGCACCCACCCCTTCTCTGCAAAAGCCTGGAGCCCGTGAGGCCTGCGATGCCTCACTGCCACCGCCAACAGCGCACAGCCCCAGCCCCGTCCCATACCCACTGCAGACTCACCCTAGCAGGTGAGGACCAGCTGGAACCCACGCCACAGCCCTGACCCCAGTCAACCCAACGCCTGCTCTGCACCACTTGCCCATGGCACATCCTGCTGCCCCCTGAGCATGCAGCAGAGCTGGGGTGGCTCCACAGCTGAACTTTTAGACAGACCAGGCGGCAGCAGCTTCTTCCACCTGCTGCTGCTGCTGGCTCCAGCTCCGCGGTACTGGTGGGGACCCACACTACTCCTCTGTACTGCCACTGCTGTCCCACAGGGCAGCCCAGATGCAGCGGTGATGGTGGCGGAGCCACAGGGTAGCCCAGTTGCAGGCTCTAGGTGGCTGTAGCAGGAAGCACTGGGCAGCAGAGGGGAGGGGCTGCTTTTCCCCCCATGCTGAGCAACAGTTTCTGCCTGGCCGGCACTGCTGCCCCTGTTTAGCATGAGCAGGTGAGTCTGAAGTAGGTGTGAGGCAGGCCAGGTCAGGGCTGTGCAGTGCGGGTCCCCATCAGTACTGTGGGGCTGGGGCCAGCAGTGGCAGATGGAAGAAGCCTAGAAAGGCAGTCCAGCTGCAGAACCACCCCAGCTCTGCTGTGTGCCCAAGCGGCAGCAGGATGCGTGACAGCTGGACAGTGTCTGGGCCAGCCAGGACCGAGGGACCAAGCATGGGCTGCACAAAGCCCTCCCTGGGCTGGATCCGGCCTGTGGGCCATATTTTGCCCACCCCTGCTCTACCCCCTGGCCCTGCTGGTGCCCCTCGCTCCTGACCTGCTGCCCCCTGCCTCCCAGTGTGTGGGGAAGGGGGTATGTATGCAGGGCAGAGGATGGGTATATGGGGAAGAGGCAGGTGTGGGCATAGGCAACACCACAGGCCATGTGTCAGGGGGGCATCCCCTCCAGGTTTCTGTGCCCACAGCAGAGCACAGGGCTGCAGCTGAACTGGACTGGCATCAAGCAGGAGTTGCCTCTGCATCCCAGTGGGCAGATACTGGTGCAGGAGGAAGTGCCGCGCTACCATGGACACCAAGGTGAGGCACCCCCTGCAGCAATGTGAGGGGGCGAGGGGGGGGTGGGCGAGGGCAGCACAACTCTATGCTGTTGACGGGAGCCCTGTGCTAGGTGTGCTGCCATGGCCACCAAGGTAAGGCAGTGCTGCTGATCTGTGCCCCTCTGATGCTGCTGGGCTGCAGAGGATGTTTAATCCTGGCCACTGTGGCAATGCGGCATTCTCAGCAGCGGTGGCGGCAGCATTGATCCTCCCTGCCCACTCTGCCCTACCATACTGGGTCCCACCCACTGGGCTGCAGAGGGAGGCAACAGAAATCTGGGGGGGAGGGGGGTGGGGAGGGTGGCAGCATATGTCACCTATGCCTCTCCACCCTCTCCCGCTACCTGCGTGCACATGCATGTGGGCACCCTGCTTCTGATCACCCTCCTCCCACTCCCCCCAGCCCCTTGCAGGCTGGAACTTTGCTAGCCTGCAAAGGGAAACCCATGGTTTCCCAAGTTTTTCTTTTTTAAAGGGGAAAATCCATTATTTTCCCCTTTAAAGAAGAAAATCTTTGTTTTTCCATGGGAAACAGAAAACCCAGATCCCTGGTGATCAGTGACACCAACTGGATAATTAAAAACTTTGTGCAAAAAAGAATACAAGAAATAGGGATCAAAAGATGTGACTTAAATTATCAAAGAGAATAGCTGCATTTAGAGTAAAGGATTTTAATATATTTGAAAGGAAAAACAGAACCCCTTCTAACAAAGAGGGCAAATCACAGATAAACACTTGTCAAAATTATTTTGAAAGCCTTCCTAGCACTTAGCTGAGGCCCTATTTCTGCATGCCTTATACCTCAGTCCAAAACAAGGGGATTAGCAATTGCAAGTCTGTTTGCCAGATTATCTCCTTTTGGGAAGGGGCCCTGAAAAAAGAAGCCCCTCTGAGCTCCCCAACAGAAAGCACAGGATTTGCAGATAAAATAGCCAAACCTATCCCAACAGGAAGCAGAATGCAGTATCTTCAGTCATAATAGTTACCCCTTCTTCTCCCACTCCCTAGGAACAGCTACCAGGGACTACGCTCTATGCAACTATGATTGCCTCTGGGCCTTTCAGTAATAGAAGTGGCTTTGAAATAAATAAAAACCAAGGTCAGGTTTGTCCAGGTGAGGTTCTTTCTTCTTCCCAGACACTTCTCTCCATTACCTGGCCAGCCCAATCTTACCTCCCCTCCCCTCCTCAGCACACACCTGGACTTGCACAGTGCTTTCTGTAGGATCTGGAAGAAGAGAAGGATAAACAATGTAGAGGCAGCCATGCAGGAAGTGTGAATGTTCCTGCATAAAGCTAAACTGATAGAAGTGTTCTGAGGGTCTGCACCACTGTCCCTAGACTCCTTCTGAATGGATTTTTAGGTATGTGTGTTCTGATACAGACAAGCTCTTAGATGGTTGTGTTACTTCTAGCATATGACAACCTTCATGCTGGGCAGAACACTACTTAGAGGTTTACTCCCATGAAAGACATTTCAGAAGAGACACTGGATCAGCTTTAAGCATTCAAAGGGGTAGATCGGACAGCTAATCTTCACTGCTGACCATCTAAACAGCAGTCTCCAAATAGTGTGCTCCTACATGGCCTCCCATGCCTCCTTAGGTGTCAACTCATGATGAAATGGGTTGAAAAAATACTGCAGTAGAGTGAAAACTGAAGGCTCAGAGCTAGCCTTATGAACATAGCATCAAAACAGACAACAGCAGCCACCGCAACAGGAACTACACATCCGGGTACTCATTTTCATATTTGGTTAATTAAAAGAGTATTTAAAATAAAGTACATAAATAAAACTGCTGCAGGATTTCTGGTTTGCAGCATAACTATTGTGGAACACAAGGGTCCTGCTGTATAATTTGTATTCATCCTGTTGTGAGGCATCCAGGGTCTTGCCCCACAAATCCTCATAAGGATCAACACCTACACTACAAGGGCTGAAGCACATTAACAAGATGGAATGAGAAGCTTGTGTTAGTTACCACTGTCAAGGCTGTGGTCATGGTGTGACTAAAATAATCCTGTCCACTACCACTGATCCTAGATTTTCCCACAAGCAACAAATTCACTTCCAAAATAAATTTAACGGAAGAGGACTGTAAGGCAAAAGAATCTTATGCTTACCTGGCGAGGTCTGCTTAATCACACGCACAATCTGCTCATTCCTGGGATCCAGGTAACCCATTTTGCTGATGTATTCCAGAGCTGCTTCAATGCTCCTGCTGCCTGTCTGCTTCAGTGCTCTTACAGCCATCTCCTAAACAAAATTAAAAACAAATCAGAGTTAAAGCATGCTCTCAGACAGAGTCCAAGAATTACTCTTGGGGTAGGCAACAACAAGCCTTTTTATACTGAAAGCAACATTTTTTAATTTACACCAGATCAAAGCTGACTGGAACCAACTGGACATATGTGTTCTCAAAATATTTGGGTGACTTATTTGACTTTCAAAACAACATACACACACACACACACACACACACACATGTGCACACACAAAATATTTCATAGCAAAGTACTTCATGCTCCATTCCCCCAAAATTGGCCTTGTTACATGATATGCAAAATGACAGCTAAAAACTGCAGTAGCTAGTTTATTAATTACTTTTTCAGTTGCTGCTGCTCTAAACCAGTGTATACTTTAAAAAGACATTTTGGATCATTCAATTGTTGTTATTATTCAAGACAAATGGGACTAGACAACATACAGGAGGAAAACAAGGATCATATTGTATTGCAGAAAATTCAAGTAACATTGCTCACACTGAGTTGGCAGAGACCAAAAGCCACAATTATTTTTTATTAATTTAGGACAAACATTCCCTATATTTTACAAATTTAAAGGGTATTTTTAAAATTACTGTCCCTTGGGAGAACAAAATCCAAGTTGGTGCTCTTTAAAAGATAAGTAATATTTCTTTCTAAAGGATAGCTAATATCTCTGCTGTACATTAGCAATGCTCAAAAGGGACTACTACAAGTTGAAGATGAATGTCAACGATACACACTTTAGAGAGATTTACAGTTACAGGGTTCTAATCTCAACTCTGCAACTAAGTTAACATGTGACCTTGGACAGGTCCTTTCTCTTCTGGTGACTTAATTTACATATCTTGAAAGTGTATATGTTATTAACTGAGAGAGGTACAAAAGGCCTAGTAAGAGTCTGTAAAGTATCTCTGGCTTCTTTAAATGGAAAATATTTTATTAGATAGCCCTACAGAAGGTAGGGCAGGGTAGCCTCTCCGCTCATTAGGCTTAACACTAGTTCTGTACGTTTGGGTACTAGGTTCCTTAAATGGGACTCTTTTAGGATAAATCTGTGAGTTTTGATGTACTGGAATATAAACTGTAAAAAGTATGCTTTGCTTTCCTAAGCTCTTGTATTAAAAAAAAAAAAGTCTTCAGCCAAATAAAATCTAAAATGGGGACAGACAGATTAATTTGACTAGACATAAAAATGCGTAGAACTTTTTTCTTATATTAAGGCAGCAGCTCACAGAAAACTGTATTATAAGAATCCCTAAAAAAAACACTCGACTCTGATCTGCAAAAAAAAAAAAAAGCAGTTTGATTTAGGGTAGAAAAAAAAGATTTAACCCTTCTTGTAATTGATCATTTTGTTCCTTATTCTCCCAATTATATTCAAGGACCTCTATGAAACTTAAAATTTCACAAATATTGTAATAACCCTATCAGAGTAGAGATAGCATTTTATTTGGCAAAAAAATCCCAGCTCAATGGAAATTAATGTGGGAACCTCCCAGTGTCTTCAATCAACTGTATGGCTGGAAATTGCCTAGTACAGCATGGGTGTTGCTGTGGCCCAAATTACCACTAACGTGCTAAATGCTGATGTGGAAGTCACAAGGCACAACCTAAAAGCTGAAACTGTTTAACAGAGTCTAACCTATGTGACTGGATGAAACGAGCCCAGAATCTGGGGCCAGCGTCCCCCTCCCACTACAAGGGCAGCCTTCCCACTGGGTTTACTTTGTGTGTTTTTCTTATGGCTGCAGTATGTGAACATTTCACTTACAATGATGCATTTAGCCTTGTAAGGCCTCTGAGGTATGGCTGCTCTGTCCTCTTTGAAGAGAAGGGGAAACTGCTACCAAGATTGCCAAGAGGTGGTGTTATCATGGCTGGCCATCACATCTCCCTCTCAAGGCCATTTGGGATGAACAGCCTCAGTGCCCCCTACTTAAGTCTCTCAGAGCGCACGTAGTGAATCTGACGTGCTGACTGCTGAATTTGGCACAAAGCAGAACAGCCAAAAGCACTTTCATTTAAAAACAGCCCTGGTGGTGATGGTAGAGCTGATGCCCACTGTTTATGTGACAGATTGGCTAAACCACTTGCCCAGGATGTGAAAGACCCAGGCTGAAGGCCTCCCTCAGCCCAAGGGTGCTTAAATTCCTCATTTCTCACACCCCAGGAGAGTGAACTACCCACCAAGTGATAGTGATACATGTATCAGTGTTCCCAGGAGCAGAGATGGGAATGCAGGTGGTTGGGGCACTCTCCTGGGAGGTGGGATGTAGGTTTGTAATCTCTAAGGTTGAAGGAGGCCCGTTACCCAGGACTCAATCTCCTGCACGACTGCCCTCACCACTGGGCTATTATAAAAAGTAGATGGCTGTTCACACTTTAAAAAAGCAGCAGGCATCTTTTTATTTCCAAAAGGGACAGCTTGGGAAGGCCAAGGAAGAGGTTTGGGGCTGTGAATCCCAGCCTCACATTGGTGCCTAACTCTGATCTGTCAATTGAGACCTAAATCCAGGAGCAGTCTGGACTGCAGATATACACTTCTCCTCTTAGTTCTGCTGGCTCTAGCAAATCCCATTCTTGCATGCCCAACTTCCCTTATTCAATGCATAGGAAACTTTGGGGCAGAGCTTACTTCACCTATTAGGCACTTCAAGTGTGACCGTACTCCACCCTTCTCAACTGCCTGGAAACTTATTAATACAAAAGGTGGGTGGGTCCCCTTCTTCCTTGTTGCTTTCCTGTAACATAGCCTTAATGCTAAGATGACACCCTGTTAAAAAAATACATGCTTTAATGGATGTTCAGGGACTCAAACAGGGTAGGATAGTATCTCATTTAGGTCTTAATAGGTGGAGTAGGATCTAGTCCTTCATGTTTAGCTTGAGTTTATGAACTGCACACCTGAAGCCAGACAGTTAAAATTTAGGCCTGGGGAGGGTTAGCATTAGCACCATCTCTGCCAAAGTGACTTGTCCACAGTTCTTAATGTTTTCTCATTTAACGGCCATTCTCAAGGTCTCCACATCACCATTGATAACCCACCCATTAAGGACCCAATTTATCCATTTTGTGAACATGTTGTAAGCCCGTGTTATGAGCATGTGTCACAGGGAGCTCCTGGGCCACAGCGTGTAGTCTCTTGTGGCTTCAGGCAACTGCCTAATAAGCATCTACCCAAAGAGGCTCCTACAAGAGCACCCATTCTAGCTCGTCCTACAAACACAATGCACCCAATCCAAAAATCCTACAGTGGGTCATGAAGAAAAGCAGGAGGGGAGGGGAACAACCCTTATCCCTGCAGGGCTGCCAACTCAACAAACACTAAAGTTGGACAAGCAAAAACCCATGTGGGCTCTCTCACAGATCACAGATACATGGTTGGCTTTGAGGTACCCTAATATTCATGTCTCACTTTTGTCTCATTTGTCACAAGGAACAACTTCACACACTCAAATAAAAACTGTAAGCACATGTAACTTGATGGTTGCTCAGTTACTTTAACAAGAGACAATCTTCTTAACTGACATTAATTCAAATACAGCAAAAAGTTGTATGCCTGTCTTTGGCATTTTGTTGTGCTGAGCGTAGTTTCCTCCCCGCTCCCCAAAATGGCAATATTTTCTCCATTACTCATAGGCTCTACTTGGGGAATAGCTGTAGCAAATCTGAATATTCTTCTTACAATTTATGACTCATAATTTATAGAAAGGCAGTAGTCGGGCTCAGGTTTCCTATAGCTAAAATATTTCACTGGCATCAACATATTACTAAGGATAACTTTAAATCAGTAAGAAAATATTATGTGTGAGGGAAAGAATTTCCCACAAGTTGGACTTTTTTCCTGCTCCAGTGTTTCTCAAGCGTCAGTAAACTCGTATCCTTGTGTTTCCGCATTCTTGTCATCCATGGACTCTAGGTTTTACAGACCAATTCTATTCTGAGGACTAATTCTTCAGAATTAGTATTGTGTGAGCTTGAGCTGTTCAAACTACAACCATTTACACCAATCATGCACAGTAAACCAGATTTTTGGGGAGGCTAGTGTTGGCTTTCAGTGGGGCTCCACAGAATAACTTCTTGGTATTTGTTAAACAAGTCTTTTGACAATGCACAAAAAGGAAGAGAACCCAATTCATCTCCTTTCAGGAAGGCTAATCTGCAGGACTTAGAAAAAAAAATTCCATTCCTAACTTCTTTTTCTCACTGACTTTCTTCTCCACGAATGGAGTGGACTAGTGAAGACTCTGGCTACAGCCTTCCAATACTGGAGTTACCCTTTCTACTTCCCTCTTCACTCCCCCAATCAAAGTTAGGAAGATGAAAGGCAGAGGTCCAATACAAACTACATGTTTCACCTCCCCGATAAGGTATATTAGTTGGAATCATTTTTAATCTCATGCAATATTAACAGTTCAACCAACTTGACTTGAAAATTGAACCTTTCAGCTGTTGGCTGCAAGGGAGACTAATAAGAGAGCTGGAGCTTGGGACCACCAGTCTGGTGACAAAGGGCAAAACCAGGAAGGACTTTCATTTCCCACCTTTTAGTAAGATCCTCTCACCCTTACTTCCTCCAAAGGCCCAAATGATGAAAAATACACTGGAACTTACTGTGGTACTTTCACAAACTAGGAAACTGGGATGAGGTTGAGATTTTCACCCCAAGGCACTTGTCAGGCCACAGAGCACATCCAGCCCCAGTCACAATGTGAGTGTGCTGACCAAGAGCCTCTCGTCTCTGGCCACTGCCGCTCCTGCCACTGTAGAGAGCTGAGGCTTCAGGAAAACAATGGAGCAGACCCTCAATGCAGGTACAGTAGGGCAGTCCCATCAGCATCAGTGGAGCCACACAGATTTACACCTGCCAGGGAGCGATTTCCCCTTGTACTTTAAGGAGTTGTTACATAGTCACCTGGTCTTCAGGTAAGTACTTTCAGACACAGAAAAAACAGAAGCGAGGCAAAAAATAATATCTGCTTAATGCAG